TGTTGCATGCACTTGCAAAACTGTGGCACAGTGTTGCCAGCATGGCAGTGAGGTTCTGGCATTCCTCTACAGGAGCAGCAACTCAACCAGTGACAAATTAAACAAGAACTATAAATGTGGCTTGGATTGGGATAATATACATTATGCAAATGGTAGTCATTACTAAGCCAAAGTTAAACATTCTTTGTGTTAGCTGTGTATCTTTTAGTGTAGGCAGAAATCTCATTTGAAAGTCTTCCTTTGTTTTATTTTTCTTATAGGGATGCTGATAAACGTATGAATGCTTCATGTTACCTGTGAAACTATACTGTGACCTGTAATAGTAGTCATGTAATCATTGCTATATTTTATTATAAAAACAAATTCAAACTAAATTTAGAAGCCAAGTCTGTCTGTAAAATCTACTGGAAGCTCTGAGAATTTGGCCCAGAATTTCCACTTTCCAATGTTTTTAGTCTTCTTTTATTTTCCAGGTCATCTGTTCTATGGAGAAAGAAGATATAGCCATCTGGGAGATTAGCATATATATTTTATGAAGCAGAGTAGAGCTCTCTCTTTCACCGACTCAGATGCTAAAGACCCAGATTCGCAGCCTGCCTCCTAGCTAGCACAGCACAGTTCATAAAGCTTCTGTTGCCAGTGGCTTACCTTTCTCCCCTGCCTGAAGAACAAACCTACACTGAAGTGGTGTTGGCAAAGCAGTACTGTTCTAAAGTGGGGAAAAAAAAACACAGTCCAGCTTTACATCCATGCAGAGAGGCAATTTATAATGACAGAAGAATCAATTTTTCAGTGAAGCTTACATTGTTTGAGGAGAGATTATCAGAAACTGATCAAATAAATCTGTCTACTGGCATGAGATACCTCTCCAAAGTGGTGTATATGGTTATATCTGTGGATATAACCATGGAACCCAGCTGAGATATATCCTCTGAAATGTATAAAAGCCAAATGAGAGCATTAGTGCTGGGTTAATTTAAGATGCAATATAAATTGTCACAGGATGTAAAAGGAGGGAGCTGCACTAAGCAGATGTGCCAAGGAGCATCTCCTTAATCTTTTATACTTTCTTGCTGTGCTGGTAGAGATGTGCTTTCGTTGTAGCTATAGTTTTAAGTACAGTGCTTTTCTAGTACTGTGGTGTAGTTGGATTGCGCTGGTACTTTTTGTTCTTTCTGGACATTCTTCTTACTTTTTTTTTTTTTTTTGGTAGCATTCTTTTTTTTTCCCCTCCCAGAGCAGAGAGAGTAGGAGCCTAGAGTGCCAACATTTTGATATCCAGTACAGATTTATAATTATGGACTGGCACAGCAGTAACATGTTATTATAGAGCTGCTAAATCCAGTGCAGAGAGAGGAAAGGCGTCCATCGAAAAAGAGAGTACTAGTTTAGTAGTCTGCACAAACATCTAGAAAAGACAGGGCGGAATATGAGATGATTCTCCTAAATTTATACAAATAATAGAATTGAATAAGCAGAGTACTTTCCATAGCTTTTTAAAACAAGGGCTGGGAATAGACTAGCCTTTTTGTTTATCATCTTATAATTTGTTGGGGTTTTAAAAATGTAGATGCAAAAATGAACGTGAATTAAAATCCTTGGTCCAAGGTTCCCACTTTGGAGGAAGTTTGAACTACAGAGTATCATCTGCATTTTGTAGATTAGACTATCCTTTTTAAACATATTATAAAAAAATCTGTATCCAAACTTTGAGAAGCACTGAGTCTGTATTCAAATACAGACTTTGAGAACTGCATCTGTTATATCTAGAATCTAATTCCCATTACTCAGATCTTCTGAATAATAATGGGAACATATACAGTCCTATTAGAAAATTCATAAGAAAAAAACCTCCAGTGTAGCATTTAGGTTATATGTTCACCAGAAAGGCATGTACCATTTCAAAAATCTTTCTGTATCTTGCAAACACTAAAATGTTGTCTTTCACAGACTGCATGCAGACAGTCTTTAATGTTGTTTCCTTCTGCCTTTTGCCAGTCACTGAAATACAAACTTAACATTTACTGACTCTTCCATTTACCTTGACCCTAAGAACAGCCTTCCCAACCTGGCCAAATCTTTTCATTCAGAAGCCAGTCTCTGACATGGCCGGTAAAAGATGCCAAGAGAAGTCTGTGAGAATGGGAAAATCCTACCATGGCTCTTCAGAACATTTTCCTGGACACTCTCCCAGCTCAGGGCACTGGCTGCTCTGGGCTTCCTGAGGCAGCCACACCGTCTCTGTAGAAACAAATACATCATGGGTGACAAAAAAAAAGGGGGAAGAGAGAAAAAAAAAAAAAGCAGCAAGATGTCTTTGAGAAGCAAAGCTGACTCTGCACTTCAATATCAAGGCATTCCACAAGATGGCAGGGTGCTGTCTTGGCAGGTCACTGCAGCAGGCAACGGGAGCCTCTACAGAAGTCATTGTTCTCCTAGAATAGTTTTCAGCATCAGTAATATAACTCTCTACTTTAAACCTACTGATGCTCTATAGCAGCGATCAAAATAAGTGTCAAACAACTGAAAGATAGGAAGCCTCTATTATGTCTTGTTCAAAATTTTATATTACAACTTTTAAAGCACAATATTCACAGAAAGCATAATAATTCCCCACTGTGTGAATTAAAGAAACCATTTTTTTCCTAAACAAAATTGGACAGAAAAGTATTGCATGCAACTGAGGCTGTTTTAACTAGGGACATTAACATCACTCATTCAGATTCCATCTCGGTCATCTATTATTTGAACTCCAAAAATCATGAACAGAGCTGTTTGTTACCCCCTGGCTTCATGATCAAGACAAGGTAACCTAACTGTGTGCTGCTGCTGAAAGACCAGGGTCTGCTGTCCCTTTTACCTGTCCTGTCCTGCTTCCTCACACTGTGCTGGCTTTAACAGCCGTGCGTACAGTCCTATCAGAAGTCAGAACAACCCAGAAAGCTGGTTGAAAACTAGCTGTTTTTACTTGATGGCTTAGCTTTCAGTTGGATAAATGAACTGAAATGACTCTACGGCCTTGCAGTCACTACTGCTGCAATCAGGAAAGTGGATCAAGCACGTGAGAAGGGGCAGGAAAGTCCCTTTCAGCAAGAAAGTAATACTAGATAAGCTTATTCTAATTGAGAAAACACATCCTTAAGTAACAAAACAGTAGTGGAGAGGATGCATCCTCAGCTCTGCCCTCACTGGCAAGAGGAGATGGAGATACAGGAGAAAATCTAAAGCTCATTTCTTAGACAAGTTCAGTTGAAAACTAGTACTGCAGCACACCTGAATCTTGCAAGTGTCACATAGAAATGTTAGTTCCAACCTTTACTAGATGTATTTTGCTCTTTATTTGTAAAATAAGGATATTAATATACCAGCTCTTTCTAGGCAAGGTATTTTTTGTTTCTGTCAGAAATAAAGGCTGTAAAGTTTGTGGAAAAAAGGAACTAGAAAAATTTCAGTTCCCTGCAAGGTTCTCTGAGATACTTGTTACTAAGTTTCAGTAGGGCAGAGGTGCTTTCCTGGAAAAGAGACAAATTCAAATATTTTACAACGATAAGGACCTTCAAGGACCTCTTTAACTTGGAGCATGCTCTTCTTAAGATCTTCATCATTCTTTTTAAAGCCTAAACCCTGGTTCTTCCTAAGCACAGCATCATAGTGCTAACACAAGGGTAAATAAATACACAAAGCCCCACTGCACAAAATTTAAGAACTACTAGTAGTTACTGTGTACAGAAAACAAAACAACCGCCTCACTAGGGAATAGAGAATTTAAAAGAAAATTTGTCTTGCAGAGAAGAATTTTATAACTCCATTCACAAAAGACTGAAGAAAAAGTAAGCCCGAGATTTTATGTAAGTGGGAAGACATCGCCTGCAGAGTACCTAGAATTCTCATTCAGCATCAGTGAGCTTGGTTATGATGAAGCATGAACAGAGACGTCTCATTTCCAGTTTTACCACTGAAAATCAAATTAAGATTTTAAAGAGTGGATTAAAATGGAAATAAAATTTCCCTTTTGTGTCAGTAAGTATGAACAGATACTGTTCACAAGATCTGGTACCTTCACAAGCTGTAAAAATGTTGGTAGCAGGGTGAAGGATTTTTTTTTTTCAGGACCAAGCTCTACACCAACTGCAAGAGTGAAAAATAAATCCTGTGGTTTAATTTTTAAGAGGCACTCAGCAGGGATGCAGCCGTATTAACCTTGTACAAAAATCGTGGAACACCTGTGCTTTAGCACAGCATGTGTATGTAAGAATGTGGAGTAACTGAAAACAAAGACTTCTCCGGTCCCTGCTTCGGTTTGGTGTCTGGCCTAAGCCCCCGTTCCAGGCGGCTGCCCCGGAGCTATGCCGGCCCCTCAGGCTGCAGGAGCGCCAAGGCCGCCAGCCCTGCCTACCCGCGGCCATCACCCGAAACCCCAGCCCCCGGCGCCCCGCGGGGAGGCCCGGGCGGGAACCGGGCGAGACCCCGGCAGGCGAGGGCAGGGTGTCGGCAGGCGACGGGGCGGCCCTTAACGCGCGGAAGCGCCCATGCTTTAGGAAAGCGAGCCGCTCCGCGCCGCGGGGCCCGGGCCGGGCCCGGCCGCCTTCCCTCAGGTGCGGCCGCCCCAGCGCAGCGAGGAGCTCCGCCCCGCCCACCCCGTCTCCCCACCCTCTCCCGTGTCATGCCCCCTTTTTCCCGCCAATGAGAAGCGGCGCGGATAGGCGGAGCTCGGACGCGCTTATTGACAAGGGCCGCGACGCCCAATGGGAAGCGAAAGCTGACGAGGCGGCGGCCAATTGGTGTGTGCGCGGGGCGGGACACACACCGGTGAGTGCGAGGGTGCGAGACGCCGCGGGCGGGGGGAGGGGGGCGTGGTCGAGGCGGCGGGGGCCCTCAATCAGGTGCGGGGCGCCGTTGACGGGCGGTAGCAGCGGCCAATGGCGGCGAGGAGGCGGAGCCTTCCCCCCCGCCCCGTTCCCCCCCCCTCCCGCCGCCGAAGCTGCCAGAGAGTCAGGTGGCTCCGGGATGCGCGGCCGCGGCGGCAGGCGGAGGCGGGCGAGGAGGAGGCGGGGGGGGATGCGGCGGCGGCTCGGCGGCACGCGCTGCCTGCCCGCGCCTCTTCCCGCGCTGCGCTGAGGCGGCCCCGCGCCGGGCACCCCCCCCCCCCCCCCCCCGGCGGCGGCACCTGCTGCCGGCAGGCGCCGGGCCGCATGAACAATAGGCGGCGGTACCGGCCCCGCCGTCCCCCGCAGCGCCCGGCTGCCGCGGGCGCCTCCCCCTATGGAGCAGCCTCGCCATGGAGCCCCTCACAGAGCTCAGCCAGGAGGGCGCGGGCGGCGGGGAGCCGCCGGGCGGCGCGCCGCTCTGGACCGCCGTCTTCGAGTACGAGGCGTGCGGCGAGGACGAGCTGAGCCTGCGGCCGGGGGACGTGGTGCAGGTGCTGTCCCGGGACTCGCACGTGTCCGGCGACGAGGGCTGGTGGACGGGCAAGATCGACCAGCGCGTCGGCATCTTCCCCAGCAACTACGTGAGCAGCGGCGTGCAGGGGGGCGGCCCGGAGCTGCGGGCCCGCTACCCGCCGCCCCCCGCCATACAGCGTAAGGGCGGCCCGGGCCTGGCGCGGGGGTCTCGGCGCGGTCCCTCGCCGCCACACGGCGGGAGGGAACCGGGGGGGCGAGGGGCCGAGGCCCGGTCCTGCCCCTCCTGTGAGCCTGGAGGCGGGGAGAGGGGGGCGGGGGGGTGCGGCCCTTCCGCCGGCCCGGCGCGGCGGGGGAAGGCCCGGTGCGGGGAGGCCGCGGCGGAGGGGGCAGGGGCGGGTGTTCCCCGCGATGGCCCCGTGGCGGGGGAGCGGAGGGCAGCGGCGGCTCGGCCCCTCACGCCCTGCCCGGGGCTGCCCCGGCCCTGCGCGCCCCCCCCCCCCCCCCCCCCCCACCCGTTCCCTTCCCCACCCGCAGCCGCGTCCCTGCCGCGCCGGTGCCTCTCCGCCTTCCAGGCCGAAGCCAGCTTGGCGTGTTCGCGTTTCACTGGCGCCGGGAGCAGTTTTTCCTGTTGGAAAGCCCCGTGGTTCCAGGGGCTGATAAATTTTCACCAAACGGCTGAGGCTTAGTGGCCGGGCAGCGGTGGAGTCACCGGGGGCTCTGACTCTCCCCTTGAGAGTAGCCTTAAGGAGAGGTTGCTGGTTAAGAAGCAGTTGCTTTCTGCAGTATTGATCCACTGCTAATACTTCAACATATTCTTTTATCCTAACCAAAAGCTTATTATTTCTGACTTAAAAATTCCTAAGTTGACTCGTGTTGCCATGTTTCTCCTTAGCCCTTGGTCTTTTTATGAATTCTGTTTGAAAATATCTGTGAATGAGTTTTGTCCAAGTTTGGATACCTGGGCCTACCTGAAGGTTGCTTGGCTAGGTTGTGATGCCGAAGGCACGAAGGGATTGGTTTGTTTCTGTGAACTTTAGTGCAGTTTTGAATCCTTTGTTGGAGCTAGAGAATAGGGCCATTTCATCTCTACTTTTTTTTTTTTTAGCCACTACATGCAATTGCAGAAAGAGAAACTGTGGAATGACTGTTTCTAGATCCTGTTTATCTCTTGCTATTGACAATTCAGGCAAGAATAAAGCTTTTTTTGGAGGGGCAGAGAAAAATCTCAAGACTAGTAGGCTTTTCTGGAAAGTAAAAGGAGTAAAAAGAGTAAAAAGATGTTTTGTCCTATCTAGGACGTATCTCCAAGGAATACAACTAATAGCTTGTTTCTTATTCTGTGTTCTGCTTGAAAGCATTTAGATAAAAACTCAGTAATTCATAACATTGCCCTTGGGATTGTGAAGGGACTAGGTGGAGCAGTGGGGGTGTTTTTTTTCATGCTGTAACAGTATAGAATTTTATTTTTTTCCCCACGTGCAGAAAATACCGTGAGCGCTTATTAGTTTTTGCCTTTGAGATAGTTGGGAGAACCATTTCTACATAACTTCTTGAGGTCTCAGGTCTCTTCCCGTTTTGTCTGTTCAAGTGCAGGCTTTGTAACTGTGGAGTCTCCTGCCGTATTCCCATTTTGTGGAGATGCACCTTCCCTCTTTATCCTTGTCTTACCCTTCTAGTGCCACAACAGGACTACGCTACTTCTGTTCTCTCAAGTCATCAACCATATGCTCATGACAGAGTAGGATTTGTTGCCCTCCACTAAGTTTTTAATATGCTGAAGGGGTATGTTTCTTTTATTTTTTTTTTTTTTTTAAAAGAAGCAATGCAATTTGGACAGGTGGTAGAGTCGATTGCTGGTGAATTGGATTTTCAAGTTTATTGTTAGAAATCCGTTTGCAAGGAATGATACCCACTTTTAGAGCTGGTGATGTTAGTTTGGTAGCTAGTTCGAATAATAGTCTGCTGCTAACTTATTGGACTATGAGGTATGGAATTTCTGCGGGAGTAACACGAGGCGTTGTTCCAGATGTGCACCTCTGCACAAAAGCTATTTTTAGTTGCTTTCCTAAAGTTTATCTTCGTGTTTGATGATGGTTTTGGAGCACAAGTCCTAGAAGTTCTGCTTCCACTGAGAGTTGTAGTAGTAGAGCTAGTAATTGCATGCTGTCTTGCAGCCATCCCCGTGGCATGCTTGAATCTTACCTCAGTGGGGGGTACCATTGATGGTAAAAGCAGCTTTTTGAGGCTTTCAGCAGTGGGCTGGCTTGAAGGACCCTCATCTGCGCTATGGGCTCTTACACACTACGGATGAAATTAAACATCTTAATCGTGTGGTATCATAAATGCTGATTAAATAGCAACTACTTTGCAGTTGTCAACATGGCTACTGGTTCATGGTGTACAGGCTCTGTAATTCCTTATTGGTCCCCAGAGGACTTGTTACACTTCAGTTCTTCAATTCTAAGGCAAAAAATGCATATTAAACATTCCTGTTGCCCTTACAGTCCAGTACAGCATGTCTGCCAAATTAAACAGGAGTTTAGAAAAGGGGTTAGTGTGCTTAGAAAGGTGAAGAAAAATAAGCATTTTGTGCACTAAGGTAGTTGTATAGCTAAGTCTGTGAAAATGAACAAGCTGATTCAGCACAAAATACCTTTTTAAAAACAAACAAAACTTTTCTAAAGATGAGGTTTTTTGTTTTTTCTAATAAAGTTACCCATGAGGGTGAGCTGGCCAGTCTGCATTAAGGAAACATACATTTGCAAAGTAAAACTAAGGTCATACTTGCAAATAAAAGAAAACTTTCTTTACAGAATGGCTTGCAGCATAACACATTAAATCCCGGCTGGAAGCATGAATCTCCCAGTTTTACCTCCCAGTTCATTTATGCATCCACCTGGGTTTGGTTTTTTTTTGTTTGTCTTTCTGGTTTTTGTTTGGTTTTGTGTTTTTTTTTGGGGGGGTTTGTGTGTGTGGTTTTTTTGTTGTTGTTGTTGCTTTGTTTTTTTTTTTTTTTTTTTTTTTTGTTTTGTTTTTTTTCCCTGAAGGGAAATGGGTGACAGCATCCAGAAAGTTTTGCCTTCCGTGTCTTCGCTTCTCCTTTGCCCGCCCCGTTCTTCTCCCTGCCGCCCTCCTTCCCTGTCCCGCCGGGGGCCGGGGGCGGGGCCGGGGCGGGGCCGGGCGGGCGCCGCGGGAGCTGTCCCTTCAGCACCACCGGCGCCGCCCCGGCCCCGGCAGCTGCGGCCCGGCGGGCAGCGCTCACTCAGCGTCTCCCTCAATGCCCCCGAGGTGCCCGAGGAAAAGGCCGGTTGGGAATAACACGGGAATGCTGCCGGTCTTGCTTTGTGCCTTACGGGTTGTTTCGTTTTCAGTCTTTTAATTGACCTTGGCTCTAGGAGCGGCTTTAAGTGAGCATCCTACTGACTGAAGGTGGTAGGACTCAGCACCTGATTTCTTTGGCTCTTTCATCAGTGAGAAATACCAGAGTAGCTCTTGTGCATTCTCAATGACTGGGTAGTCTCATATCTGGAGTTATTTTCACTACAGTTTTGTTCTAAAATTTCATTGTTTCTGGTTAGAATCTACTCCATCTTTTCTGATAATCTGTAGCTCGAGCATTTGAACACCAGGGCTGCTACTGTAGCAGTGAAACCTTCTTTGTTATGTAAATCCTTGAAGTTCAGAGCATTACTCAAAGCAAGTACTCAGTTACAGACAAATAAATTATTTTTGTGTCCTAGACTGGAAAGAGCCTTTCCTCGTTTTGGAAGACTTTCCTATCTTGCTTTCCATTAATCTTTTGTTCATGGAACACTGGTAAAAAGAGCACAGGCATACTTACTACATTAGCTGAGGATTCAGATCTATTGGCTGTACTGCATAGGATGACTGATGATATAATCCGTATATGCAGTCAACTCCTAGTTCATAGGTTTGACCAACTTAAAGTTAAGCTGGACTTTTAAAAATCATGTTCAGGGAAGATGGAGCTCAGTCAAAAGAAAAAAAAAAAGTCTGTAGCTATGGTCAACAGTTCATATCAACTCCATGCAATTTTGTCACAAAGGTCTTGTACTATAGGCTTGTATTTAGGAAAGACATTTGATGGGAATGAGTCAAGTATTTTACTTAAGTGGGATCTAACCCGTTACCTTGCCTTGTATGGCTACGTAATTTCTTTCAACAACAGTGGAGACCTTTGTATACAATCAGTAACTACAAAAAACAATAATTTAATACAGTACTCGGAATTAATAGCTACATCAGTTAAGTCCATTACAGACTTAACTTCCTTTCTACTAGACAAAGCAGGGGAACCATGTCAGATTTGGTGTTTCGCATGCAGAAAAGTATTAAAAGTCTCGGTGACTTTCTGCTTAAATTCTTGCATTACGGTATTTGTCCCCTAAAACTTTTAAAAATTCATCTGGCTGTAATTGGTAACCACCAAAATATCAGGCATAACATCAACGGTGTATCTCACCAGTGGCCTACCACTGCTGTAAATTCAGCCGTGTCAGCACATGGGTTTTCTGTTCTATGTTAGTCAGTATTGGATGGGTTCTTTTGGCCATCTGTGAGCATGAACTGTGTTTAGTGTGCAATTGTACAGGATACATTTTTCTCACGGCTTTTGCTCCAGATGCAATTTATATGCTGAATTAAGACATCTACATCCATATATTTTACTATACAATGCCAGATAGCCACCAGCTACTGTATAGTATAACTGAGTGTGGGGGAATGGAAAATGGTGATTCTGTTATTTTATATAGTTTCTGTAATAAAAATGCAGTATGCATTAATCAAAAAGCGTTTTTCTTATTGCTAGCTCTGCATATTCAGTATGTGATCTTATCCATCTGTTTGTCACACTATCATCAGTAGTGTCAGAATTGGTTAACAGATCTCTTGGGGTGAACGAATCTGCAAAGCTTGTAGAGGTGTGGAAGAATAAGCGTGATTTGGGAAGGACTAGAAGATTGGTAGTGGCAGTTGAATAAGAGACATTCAAATAAGGGACAAATGCAGAAGCAGATGTGTTTTGTGTTGAATTTTAGTTATGTCATGTGCAATACTGTATAGTGAAGTCAATGAAGATTAGCCTGTGGGTTTTCTTTTTTGGAATCTTGTACTGTCATTGAGGGCAGGAAATGAAGGTTTAGCCTTAAGGGAGTGTCAGTGTTATAAGGGTTTAAGTGTGTTAAGAGGAGGCTATTTTAAGTGTGTCATTCACCACCATTACTTCAAATTCATCACCGTTCACAGTGAGTACTTCATACAGGTTTTATGATACTGCAAGATCTGTTTTACCCCACACTATTTGGCAAAGAAAGATTGTCAGAAGGGACGATTGCTTTCATTTGTATTGTTTTGGAGTGAAATATGGTCCTTCCTCCAAGGGGCAAGGGTGTTGTTGGGCAACATGGACCTTCAGTTGATGTACCGGCTGTGTAGTTGCTAAACATTTACATCTTTTTTTTCCTCTTTCCCTAGTCCTGGAGATCGACTTCTCAGAGCTTGTTCTGGAGGAGATCATTGGCATAGGGGGCTTCGGAAAAGTGTATCGAGCTGTATGGATAGGAGATGAGGTTGCTGTCAAGGCAGCTCGCTATGACCCTGATGAGGACATCAGCCAGACCATTGAGAATGTCCGCCAAGAGGCCAAGCTCTTTGCAATGTTAAAGCACCCCAACATCATTGCCCTCAGGGGTGTGTGTTTGAAGGAACCTAATCTTTGCTTGATCATGGAGTTTGCCCGTGGAGGATCGCTAAATAGAGTGTTGTCTGGTAAAAGGATACCTCCTGACATACTAGTGAACTGGGCAGTACAGATTGCAAGGGGAATGAACTACCTGCACGAGGAAGCAATTGTTCCCATAATTCACCGTGACCTGAAGTCCAGCAACAGTAAGTGCTACACAGTGAACAGACAGGGTGCTGGGATACAGTTTTGGAAAGAAATCGTACAAAGAAAAGAGGGGAATACTGTTACCTTAGCGATACTTTCTTGTGAACCACTGTATCCTCTAATTCAATCCCAGAGGGGTTTATTGTGCTACAGACCACAGGGAACATGTAGATGCTTTCACTTTGTAAAAGTAACTTTAAAGATTGGATGCAAAAGCAATTGTAAACAGAGCATGCTTCTCTAGTAGTTCATATATATATATACACACATAGTGTCTCAGTTTTATTGGCATTTCAGCAGACTCCTGTAGGTTGGAAAGTCTTGCAGAACTTAAAATGTGTATTCTCCTTCTACCTTTTTGGAAGGATAAGTGCTCCTTTGAAAAGATAAATGCTCTTAGGCTTTCATTTTACTTGCTAGATTTTGCTGTATAGATGAGATGCAAGCCTGTTTTCCTTACGGGAGGTTTAACCCATCCCAGCTGAATTGGATCTTCTCCATCTCTCATAGAGCTGGTGTTGACAGAAACATTAACTCGGGTAAATGAAATGTCCCAGTGGGTGCCCTTGCACACCCAGGACTTCATCTGATGTTTGTGGTGCTTTACGTGGGCTGCAGCTGACCCATTAGAGCATGAGGACTGAACTTTGGTAGTTACATTTCTGGAAATCATGGTGAATAGCTAGCAACTCTGTAATACTAATAGCGTTGCTGTCTGCCACTTGGGTGTTGTTTTTGTAGTGTGTCTATTTTCCTGAACTTAAAATTGCCTTGAAGTCAAATGCATGCATAGAACTTTATTTATGAGTGTGGGAGCAAACTGCTTCAGTGGTTTAAAGATCATCATCTCCTTTCCTGATGCCTGCATGCAACTGTTTAGCCTTTCTTTCTGCTTGTCTAGGCCTAGATGGCAAGAGCAAACGCGTACCTGCATGTTGGCTGCAGTGGTTTAGGTAGGTGTGTTAGTATGAACTCATTTTCATTTATAGCCTGAATTAGAGTGCTATGAACTGGGTGGCTGGATGCAGGCAAATGTTCTCTTTTGCTTTGAGGGCAGTAACATCTAGCAAAGAGGTCTGACATGAAAATTTTAGTATCTTAAATAGATTCACTAGAGCTAGCATTAACCATTACGGTGCTGTAAAATTCTAGGCCTTGCAAAATCTTCCTACATTTTTTGGCCTCATCTCTTGTGTCAGTGAGCTTGCATAGTTTGTTGTGAAGTACAAATTAAAAAAGTATTATTAACTCTTGTTAGTGAGTTTGAAAATAGGAACTATGAGAACTTTCAAATTAGCTTCTATAATACTATTCTTATACAATTTAAGTTTCCCTTTTTGTTAGAGTAAGGCAATCTTAATGTCTATAAAAATTTCCTAATATCTAAACGTGTCCCTTACAGCTGGCAGTATATATGGGCATACTGATAAATGCTGTAAAACGAAGGATTGATTGGCTTGGTTAATGGATGACTTGCTGCCTCTGTGAATAAGAAATAGTTGCCTTTAAGTATTGCACCTTTACTCCTTACCTAAGAAAATATTTACTTGTTTATTTTGCTAACAGGTTATTAAGGCTCTATTGCTTAATGCTATCTGAAACTTTTTGAGGTCTAGAATGAAAGTTAGTTCTATGATAGAAGACTGGTGTTTCATGGTTTTATTCAGACTAGAGACTTCTAGTTGAAAAGGGAAACCTATCAACCAGAGAACCAGCTCAACTAGAGAGACACCAGTGCACAGTGTCACCAACCACACAGATGTGGATGCTAGGAAACCTCTGTACTATCAGCAGCAAGAGTAAATGCCTCTTGTCAGAGTGAATCAGCAGTACATAATTGTGCTGCACTGTAAATCATCAGTGAGAAGTTGAGGGTTTCACTGTGTGTATTACTAGAATTTTCTTCATTTGGGAGGAAGCGATAGTAAAGGAAGAGGAATAATGAGCGGGAATGCCTGTGGGAGGATTCAAAGACATCCCATGTTTGGAGAGGAGAGGTAGAGAATTTACGTGGTGGTCTTGACCAAGGGTACCATCAGATCTAGTACAGAAATGATGGGTATAGGAAAATTCTTGCCTAGATAAGTCTGCAGAAAGCAGTATTACATATGGGAAACCAGATAAATGTAAGAGCTGGTACTGGAGGGAAGGGCTTCAGATATTTTAAGGAAGAATCATTGATTTGTAATTCTGTTTTCAAATAAGATGAATTAGTAACCTCAGGTATTGGCTGAAACTTCATAGCTAAACAGCTGTTTACCTTAGTTTGGCAATATAAATCCTCATTCTGTGCTGTGTGGTGGAAGAGAAATTTTAAAAAAATGTATAATATTCTAAACATTTGAAGATATATGTTCTTTTCTGAGCGTATCTATAAAGCAAATGTCATAAATACTAGATTATGACAATGGTGAAGCGTTTTTGTGGGGGAAAGGGACTATTGGTCTTGTGTTGGTTTGGTTTGTTTTTTATTCCCCAAAAAAGTGTATATTACCTCTACATGCAGGCAGACTTAACTCGTGGTTATCTGTAGGATAAACAACTTGGAACTGCCCAAGTCATGTCTTTCCTAAACACACTGTCAATTCACTGCTGAAATCCCTTTTCCATTATATGTAACAAGCATCTTGGATATTTCTCTGCTCTGTTTTCTATGGAATGCTTTTTGTAAGTTTTGTAAAGATTAGTGGACTATGTATGTTACTGAATCCTGATTTATTGTGCTTTCTGTGTTTTTCTGATGTACTTTTCTCTATTACTGTGGATAATAGAGAACAGGTTATGTTGTTAGCTTTGACTGTAGAATTACAAGCTTGTAGTGTTTTCTTTGCACAAGTTGCCACCTACCAACTCATAGGCAGTAATGTGTCTCTGGAGAAGGAACAGCTTCTGCTTGCAAGAACTTGAAAAAGATTCTTGCAAACACGTTTCTTTCATGTACTGAACATCTACAAGTACTGTGGAGCTGTCATAGGAGCATCAGCTGTATCGATCTGCTGATTGATATTGCCTACATCTAGTAATAGACAGTGATTCTCATACATCTCATCTTGCCTTCAGGCACCAGCTGGGACCTGCACTAGCCATCTGAAGCTGCAGGCTGAGTTAGTCTGGGAGTTAAGGAACAAGATGGGAGTGTGAGAAAGAACAGAGTTGCCTTATTTAAAATAAAATTTTCTACTAGAATAGAAGAAAATCAAAGTATGCCTTGCTTTCAGATGTCTGCCCATTTTTAGGAAGGTACAGAATGCATGAGGACAATACTTCATGATGAACCTTTTCAGAAGGTCATGTTGCATTTTGAACAGTAAAATAAGTCAAGTGGGCACCTTGATACAAGTCTGAGATGTTACCTCATTATATATGTACATGGGTTTGAAAAAAAACCACAACATTTTAATCTAAACTATTGCAGCTTTTTGGACTCAAGTAGTAGTTACAAAACCAATGCTCGGAATAGTTATCAACATTTCTGATGGCACAGTAAAGAACATAAAGTTTTGATTGCTTTGGGAGGTAACTTCTTGTTGTACAGGGGCTGAACTTCAGAGGATTAAGAAGATTCCAGGAGGCCTCTGTTGAGATTTTCCTCGTCAAAAAGCACTCTCCAAACCAATTGTCTGTCTTCCTTCTTTTAACCATAAAGGTGGACGTTTTTTCTGTTCCATCATTTCTCTTAATTTTTTTTTTTTCCATTTCATTGTCATAACTTCAGGTTTAATGGTAATACATTTAGAGTGTAGGAAAAGTGCCCTGTATATTTTAAGTACCGTGTTCATTTGAGGCAGACTTTCATTGTAAATCTTCTGAGGTTATGAGGGCTGCCTATTTCATTGCTTTGGGGATGCTATCAGGAAAGGAGTATGTAAGATAGTTACAGAACAAATTACACACCTGTGATTTATTTTTAGAGACCCTGAAATTCTTCTGCTGAGTGTCAGTTCACTTGGCAGTGAGTCTGGTAGACGAGTGTTCCAGTGACATTACCAACTCATGTGTTAGTCGTATAACTACACAAGAGAAAGAAGATAACCCAGAAATGCTATTTTGTTCTGCTGTGTGAGGCGATTAGTATTCCTCTTTTTTTGACATTTGATTCGAGAGATTCAGTTTATTCCATGTGAAAATTAATCTGACACAATCCTCTCTGGCTTCTCTTAATCTGTTGATATTGCTAACCTTTCCTTTTCACCTGCATGTTGCTACTCCACTGAGCGTATGTCACAGAATTGGTAGTAGGCCTCTCCCAATATGAAGGCTTCTAAATAATCTAAATGCTGAGTTATAGAAAAAAAGCAACTAGGAGTGCCCACTGAAGTCAGCATCACTGAGTTTAGCACAGCTCTTAGCTTCCCTTTCTCTTACTTGTGATTTGAGTCACTTTTCTGGCCAGAGGAAGGGGCTTGGCATATAATACTTAGGATCAAAAAGGGCAGTCTGGCTGGTTTTAGTGAAGTATTGTAAATAATGAAGCTGGACCTGTTTGTTTCTATTTGTCTGGCAATGTCAGATATGCCAGCATTGCTATAGGAATAATGCCAGTTAACTAATGCTGCAGAGAACTAGCAAAAGCATATTTGCTCTTTTTTTTGACTGGCTCAGCAAAATACGTTTGTTATTTGCACTACACTGAAAGATTTTGCTGAGGGTGTTCATGCCAGTTAGCAAAGTGCTTTACAAAAGTCACTATGTTTGTGTTCCACAAAGTGGCACAGAAGATTAACAGCAAAGTGACATGGCCAAGGCCAAAGAAAGAGGTAAGGACAGAGCTCAAAATAAACCCCAACAATTCTGATTCATTCAAGTTAGTAGTTATTCTCTTCTAGTTCTCGGAAGGTGTTCACCTCTCCCACTTTTTGGACCACTAAGCAAAGCTTGTGATACCCTGAGATTCCAAGCTCTAGCTTTCTAAAAAATTCCAAACTCTGCTGTAGCTTTGCTTATTTATTTTATGCAGTTGTTTAAGCCTTTTTCTGTTCATAAAGAAGCTAACAGAACT